CCTGACTTGATGCAAGTCAAGATAATGGTGATGCTGTGATGGGGTGATGACTGGAAAGCAGCAGAGCAGGATTCCAGGGAACGACCATGTTTGATTGCTTGATCTTCCTGATGGTTAGGGTGCTCATTCACATTTTAAATACTCATTGAATTGTCTGTTTACTGCTTGTCTTAGTTACTTTTTGCTCATTGCTGAGACAAAATACCTGAAGCCCAAAGTTGGGAAAGAAAAGGTTTATTTCTTACAGTTTTTGGAGGTTTCAGTCCACACTCAGTTGGCTCCAAGACAGGCGGGCATGGCTGGGCCGCAGTTCATGGCAGCTGCAAACAGCAAACAGGAACAAGCAAAGAGCAAGACACACCTTCTTCCTGCCATTACATCACATCCAGGCTCCACCCCTATGTGGGTGGAGCACTGACACCATCAATCCAAGCACTAGACAATGCAAATGCGCAAATGCACAATGCAAACTCATGCGGCCTGGGGGACACAGACATAAACCAGGACACTGCTCAAACCCTACATATATGTATTATGTTGCTATTAACGTTTCAGAGAAAAAGAGCACAAACCAATGGAATCACTGACCAAAAGGATACAAAGAAATGATGAGAAAACGTTGAAAGATCAGATGAAATATTTGTGAGCCGATTATATAATATCCTGAGTTCTCTGTCTGTATAAGACAATCTTTCAGTGAACGTATTTTCTTTTTTCATCAGTATATACCTGTGATACCTCCTAATTGCATTTGTGTTGAGGAAGTGGTCCATATCCATCACACATCATGTTCACTCCTCTTCCTCACTGATCATTCCTCTCCCTCCTTTCCCAGATCACTTCCCATCTTAACATTCTACTTCCCTGTTTCCTACTATCACTATTTATTTTGCTCTTTAAATGATTTATATTTTTGGTTCCTCAAATTAACAAAGCCATGTAACATTTAGTGTCCTGTGTCCAATTTATTTCATTTAGCATGATAAGCTCAGGATCCACCCATTGTCCCACAAATGACTCAAATTTGTCCTTCTTTATGGTTGAGTATAACTCCCATGTGCACATTACCACATTTTATTTATCCATTTATTTGTTGATGGGCTATAGGTCACTTCTATAATTTAGCTATGGTGAATTTTGCTGCTATAAACATACATGTAGTTAGTATATTTAAGAACATTAACAGATCGCTAATGTATTGAAAACTAACAATACTGATCTTATCTCATTGCTAAGCATAAAATGAAGTAGCGCTATTATTAACATATTAGGTTTCACAGAAAGAAAGTTATGTAAGCACAGAGCCTAAAGAGAAGTGGCTTATAGCTAAAGTTGATTTTACATGTTCTATACAAAAATGCTTCTAGTATGTATGCGGCAAGCTGATTTTACCTTCTCCATGCTCCAATCTTTTGGGCTGAGTATTATGGTCTCTCTAAAATGACAGTGAATTCTTAGAAGGCAAATAGTCTTTGAGACTACAGCAAAAAGATCTTTGGCAGGGAGGAGACATACGGCTCCAGGCTAGAATCACCACCTGCTATGGAATAGTGCCCAAGACAAGACATTCGGTCAAGACACAGTTAATAGCAAACATGGACGCCGAATGCAGCCAGTCTCCAAGGAGCTATCCAATGGGAGTACTTAAAGCAGGAATGAAGGTTGTGTCAGGAGCTGTCCCTTCTGGGATGAAAACACCAAGGCATTACCAAAAGCAAGGGGGTCTGCCAAGGTCCTCAGCCAGAATCTCTTTGAAGAGAAAGCCAACCAATGGCCTGTCCACCGTAACCAGGCAGCAGGGGTGCGACTGACCACATGTTCCTTTGCCCTGAGCCAAGCAGGAGTGCACACCTGACAGCTGGTTCTGGTAATCAGATCCTGCCCAGTGCTGAGAGGAGCCCGGAGAGTACAGATGTGAGGTCAGGTGTTGTCTTCTATCTCCTCTGGTGCCTGCCCACTGAATGGTTTTCTGTCTTCTTCTAATTCTCTATCTTTGACAAAGATGAGATTTTCAGGGAGCAAATTCTCTCTTGAACAGTAAATGTAGTTTTTGAGATGAGGACAGAGTACACAAATAAATAATGCTGGATAAAGAAAATAAACTAAGACAATCCTATAAATAAGTTTATTTATAAGAAAATAAACTAAGTGAATGAGAAAAGCAACCTGGGGTACTCTTCAGTGGCATAGCAGAGAGAAAAGGAGAAAACCTTTAAGTAGGATGATCTACAGAAAAAAATAATAGAGAATTCAAGCCTAGCATAGAAGTTTTTGCATTTCTAATCAGTTCATGCAACATCATGTTTACAGAATTCATCATTTCTAATATTAAAGCATCATCTTTCAGAGCTACAATACTATAATTTATCATGTCCAGGCATGCAAAAGCATCTTTTTTCTAACACTAAGCATGTTTAATCATGACGATTTATAACAGCACCTTAGGACCTTAGTGAAAGGAAGGCGTGTGATACATGATATTTACAGTAATTATAATAATACCAGATTTAAAGTATCATTTTTTACAGTGTTCACTCACAAAGCCAAATTGTCCATGTTTTAGCTAATCATTTGAAATACTTCTGGGGGATCAGCATCCAGAAATTAATTAATAGCTTCCCTCTCCACAACTGTCAGCGTTATCGCTGTGACTCCTGCCAGCTGCCAGTTTCTTTGTAACCTTGCTCTGCTGGCCATCAGCAAAGGCCACTAATGTTATCCACGTGTTCTGATAGCCGAACACCAAATGTCAAGCCACACGTGGAATCATACTTATGCTTCAGGAAGTCAATGGGATCAGCTTTGTGAACCAAGAATTGACCCCAAATCTGAAGGCTCCTTGAACTAGTGCTTACAGAAAATTCCCATGACCTCCCCTTCGTGGACATACCAGGTTGGAGTTCAAGGGCGGCAATTTTCATGCAAAGCTAAGAGTTTTAAAATTCTTTTTCAAAGAGTCTAAATCTTTCTTTGTTGAGCTCTAAAGATTCCCACTGCCTCTCTTCTGGGATCAGTCAAATTTACACACATTCCAGCTCCACTTGAGTGGAATGCAAGTCTCTATTTAGGCATTTGCTATTAACCACAGGTCTCATGCTTCACAGCCTCTTGTGACATGTGTTTATTTGAAGAGGTAAGTTGATGAAGCGGTGCCTTCCTGGTATTTTACAAGCTCTACCTGACTCAGGGAAATAGAAGAGAGCCCGCTGGCAACAGACAGTGATGTGGTGTGTGGATGAAGGTGAGGAGTGTTACCTGGACCACTGCCTGTGGCCCCCTCAGTATTAAAATTCAGTGTCAAAGCACGGCCACATCTGAAACATTTCAGGGTTCAGATTCCCAGCAACTTCAGACTTGAGCACTACAGTAAGTAGAACATTACAGAACCCATAAATCAAAACCAAAGTCTATTTTTTCTCCACACACGTAGAATAGAAAGCTTGGATTTACCCAGACACCCAAGGCTAGCAAGTACCCAGGACTTCCCAGGTGCCTTTGTGTTCTAACATCACCCTGGTTCCATTCCTTCCTCTCATTCATTCTTATTGTCTCGTTTATGGACTTAATATCACTATCAGAATTAGAGGTAAATTATTAATTCCAATTAATTTCCATGAACTTTCTAGACCACTTAATCTTCTTTAGAATAAGATGGTACATTTAAATTATGTTAGAACTGTACAAGATATCCTAAATCTATCACTCCAAGCATACTTTTTCTATATATGATTTCAGTAACTCAGGGATCTGATTGCACTACAGGGACATAGGAGACCAGACTGACAGAAAGAGTGGAATGTTATTTGTGTGGCGCAGAATATTAAGCCTACTTACTAGATGTTGTTACATGCAACAATAAACAAATAATTTACTGAATGTGTAAGTTACTGAAAGAACGTAAGTTACTAAATGTGTGAGATACTGAAAGTTTAAGGAGAAGGCAGAAAAATTTTTAGTAACAGGAATCAAACTCAGGACCTTGCACTAAGCTACGTCCCCAGCCTGAAATTATTTTAAAATAAATTCAAGCAACAAAATCTAGCAGCCAGAGGCCAGGACCAACATTGTGTAGGTGCAACCTCTTTGTGGTTTTTAAAAGTCTTTTATGCACACAGAGCAGTAGTTAGTAATGACTATTCCTTTAAATAATAGGAATAATATTAGGAATAATAAAAAGAATAATAACTATTCCTTTAAAAATAAGTTGGGATGTTCGTATGAATCTTTAAGACAGTGTGTATCAAACACTTTGGAGAGATGTTCATTTGAAAATAACAAACTTTTAAAATGAAAAAGAGAAGTCCTGTGTAGATGTCTGGAAAATTCACTTCTTTGCAACGTCTTGTCCCCTAGCCAGGCGTAATACCTGGGTGGTGATGAACTGGTACTGTGTGGTCTCAGAGGAAACAACATAAGCAGAATTTGAAGACCATTTAGAACTATGTTCTGACTCACATGAGCATGATGTGGTGGGGACAACTCCAGCCAAACCCTGGACTACGCTGATATCTCCAAAGGAGTGCTTGTTACCAGTGCATTTCATTTGTCCACCAAGAAATTGTTCACTAAATCCTCTAAACCAAATGACCTATGGAACAACCCAATTCCTTCATTGCCGAACATTGGTTTTGGTGATGTTAAGAAGAGAAAGAATTTCCTAGATTCATGCTCAAAAGTTTTTGGGCAAACAATTCTCTAGGAATGGAAGGCAGTATTTAAATGTTATTTTTTGAGACATGAATCCTGTCATGATATAAATCACAGCACTCAACCAAGGCAACAACCACAAATCCTAGATATCCTCAAGGCAATTCTGGCGATCCATTTCCCACTGGACTTCAGTAAGCAGTATCATGTAGGTGCTGCATTCTCAGGGAAATCCCCCTTATTATGAGGAGCCTGTTTCCCTCATACAGTTAAACAGAGGGTCACAACCAATAAGCTAGACTCCTATTTAACTAGGAGCAAAGATTGACTCAGTCTTGTTTGTTTGTTTACAGAATTATGCAAAACTTATTCCTGGAGCCACAGTGGGGCTACTTCACAAGGACTCTGGAAACATTCTCCAACTGATCATCTCAGCTTATGAAGTATGACATTTTGCTTTATGAAAAGTTGATTTTATTTTTGCATGTCTTTGGTATTCAAAAACAAGATGTGAGTCGGGCATGAGTCATGCCTGTAATCCCAGCACTAGGGAGGCCGAGGCAGGAGGATCGTTGCTAGTTTGAGACCAGCCTGGACTATAAAGTGAGCTCAAGGCCAGCCTGAACTACATAGTGAGACCTTGTCTCAAAAAGACCAAAAAAAAAAAACAACAACAACAACAACTAAGATGTGTTTTAGGTAGTGATGTGCCTTCTCCTTTGTTGATCCGAGACAATCTTTCTGCATTAATGTGGCCAAAGTATAAATTTTATTTACTTCGTTTGCACATCTTCTTCCAGAAAGATGGAGCAGTAGATTCAAAAGTTAGAAATCTGATCCTAGATTTCAAGCAGCAACATTGTCTCCCAGCAGAGTTTTAATTTGACTGAGAAACTCCATGAGTCACATGATTAAGTTCTCCTCTATCTGAAAATGAGTTCAGTATCTCAGAGTAAATAAATTCAGTGAGCAACAGAATTATGGGGGAACCAACTCTATGGGCTTAATGAGACGAGTTCATAACTCAAGCAAAAATACAAGTGCTGGTGATGTAGTAAAACACCAAAACACACCAAGCATACCACATTTTAGTTTCTCTACTTTGGAGAACTGGGAATGTTTCCTTCCCTTTATGAGTACCTATATAAGCTTTGCCTGGCATTCAGGAATTAGTACTGAGGAAGAATTCCTCCCTTAAATTAAGATACATACTTACAGAGCTATTGTTTTCTTTTTCTTTTTCTTTTCTTTTTTTTTTTTTTTTTTTTTTTTTTTTGTCCCCATTTTCTTAACTCCATAGGCAACAGTGGACAGCCAATTGCTAACTCTTCTGCGTTTTGTTTCTAAATATCATTTTCCTTATTGACTTCAATTACAAAAAAATCCCCAAAACACCACACAAAGATGTAGATATAGCTCTAAATTAGAAAATTGTGACAAGCAGAAAAAAAGGTAAATTTTTAGAAAGCAATAAAGCTCCAGAGTTTTCTCTAAATAGCATTTTCATAATGATGAATGAGTAAAATTGTCCTAATTTGTGATGTTTGAAAATTGCAAATCAATGATCCACATGCCATCCTGCTTAACATGTATGTCACTAGTGATCCTCAAGTAAATGACCTATCAGAAGCATCTGGGAAACTTTTTTTAAAATGATGTGCTCAGATTTCCTTCATATATGTCTCTGGATAAGTATAAAGGAAGGGAGAGCTACATATTTTGAAAACAAAACTCTGTGGTTTTGACATCACCCTACCAATTTTGAAACTCAACTGAAGGAGGAAAAGCAAGATATTTCTTCTCAAACACTTCACTTACTCAAAGACCTAAATTGCTGGATTCATCAAAATAATAAGAGGACAGGACTTTTCTCACTGATAATCCTCAGAAATTTCAGTTTTCTCAGTCTACATAAAAAATCAGTCCCCACATTAGCTCAGACTTGAAATTGTTCCAGACATGAAAGCTTGTCAACAAAACATTATAAAAACCTGCTTCCCTCTCGTGCAATAAAGTTTTAGTGTGTAGAATCAAATAAAATCACAAAGCAAACCTTCACTGAATTATAAGACATTCCACTTTCTTTACTGCAGTACATTTAACAGTGTTGGCCATTAACAACTAAGGAAATGGGCAAATCAGAAAATAGCAATTGTCAAGAATATTTTCCCCCTGCAGTCTGAGAACCCCGTGCTCTGTCAGAGGTCCCATCTCCTTTATGGTCCTAAATCATTCCCGTAACTTACAAGGCAGTTGAAATAGAGGCATTAAACACTTGAACTGAAGCTTGTGTCCTTGTGTGGTATCTCAAAAATATCAAGAATCATTTATTATTCTTCTACTAAACAGTCTTTCTCTGGACTTATTACTGCTGCTTTATGATGAAGAGGTGAAGTACGCAATAGGTTAGGGCACTGATTCCAATTGTTTTCTTTTTACTTTTGTTATTTTTAAACCTATCATTAAAAGACTTTAAAATATAGCGACCTTCAGACTGAATTTCTTCTTTAGACTAATAAAACAGATGAAAGGAAATAGTATTATGGAGAGAAGACATAAAATATTTCCGATTGACTTTTAGTGGAGCAGAGGAAATTTGTGTTTATAGTTTGTGGCTACAAACATCAGCTGAGTATTTTGCAGTGCTGTATTGGTTATTAAATCGTGACATAAAAATCTTAAATATTGGATGCACATTTGTCTGACCATCTCTTGCTAATTCCCTTCTTTCCATAACCATAGAATAAAAGCTACTAGAAATATCAATGCACCCAAAGGTAAACTCCTACTGGAATTTAAACCATAAGAAAAAATCCACCTGGGTTGTTTTCCCTCTCTGACTTATAAAAAAATGCTCCATAAATAAATTAATGAAGGGCTGAAAAATAGAATTTAACACTGATGTCCTTTCCCTGAGAAATTTGCATTAAAGTATCCCTGGTTAAATTTGCAGTATGATACTCAATTATATCAATGCTGAGATTCCCTTCATTTAGGTTAGATTATGTCACTCACTAGCCCTCATTATTGCTGTCACCTGCAGAAACACCCTTCATTTCTCATTTTGTTCCTGATTCACGGTGCCACATCTCCAACACTACTTTCTGTCTTAATTCTTGATGATTGCAGTCGAAGCAGAATGTAGAGAAAGGAGGGTCATCTTACTACATAGCTGGTAAAATTATAGGTCAGGAAAATTTGAAGCTGAATATGCTTTTTAAAATGTCAACAGCAAAATTGGCTCATGGACTTAAAGCCTTTTCAATGATTTAAACAGCAATTTAATTCATAATATTTTCAAATTTACTTTTTTTCTTTGTACAGAATAGCGAACCCAGGCCATGTGTGCTAGGCAAGCACTCTTCTCCTGAGCTACATCCCCAACCCTATTCCAGTTGGGGTTTGTAATAATTTGGTTTTATCCCCCCAAATCCAGACTTTTATCCTACATGAAAAAAGAAATAGAAAAAGTAAGATGACAAGCTTGAAAGCAAAAATTTAGTCTTTCCTTGACCTGGTAGTTAATATACAATAGATGTTCAATAAATTCCAATGTGATTTTAAGGCACGGTTTTCCCCTACATTTTAAAGCCTCTAAAATTGGGGTCCATCTTGTAATTAACAGTCTCTTACAACCACAGCGTGCCAGGTGGCAATCAAGGATAGAGTTTCACTGACAATTATGGTCATCATCATTTCAACTTGTTAAATCACCATGGAGCCCTAAGAATCCTAGAAGCCCTAAATTTAATTGGCATTTTAAAATATCTTCCAAAAGTTTGCACTATGACTCGATGTTGAGATGAAAGTTATTATGTATGCAGAAATGTACCAAAACAGAGCAGCAGGGTGTAAATTTGATATCAACGAAGCAATATTTATCCTTGGAGGAATGGCAGATATTCTGTGTTCTTCAAAAAAGCAACAACCAGATGCGCTATGGGACCTAGGAAATAATGACACAAGCAAAGGAATCCATTGTTCCATTGTGTTGACAACACATAAGGAAAAGAATTGCCTTTTGTATGCCAAACTGTACAACTCAGGGTTGGGGGATTTGCCAAATCCTCAGAACTATGAAATGCTTTTCAGAGCAATGATAAGCTGATGTCTGTTATACACAATATTCTGCAAACCATCTCAAGTATTTTATCACATGTTAATTTTTGAACTAGTGTATTTTATGATTAAAGTCCTAGAATAGATAAAATATGAAATATATTGTCTTCTTGCTTCATGATATGGAGAATTTCTTTTAGACCCCGTTTAATTTTATTCATATGCAGTTTAATGAACGTAATTATAATTCCTTCTACCGGCTGTAATTTTTCAGTTGTGATTGCATTAACTCTTTGTTTTCACTAAAGGAACTGCGGTCTGAGGTGGAGCTGGAAGTATTAGGAGATACAGAGGGCCTCAATCTTTCGTTCACAGCTGTCTGTAACAATGGCACTCTCTTCCCACACCAAAAGAAATGCTTGCACATGAAAGTGGGAGAAACAGTAAGTAAATGGCCAGTAGACAGGCTGCAAAGTATTTGGATGTGTAGAGATTAGCTTAGTTCATTGAAACTGGACTTCTTCCAAGACTTGCCGAGATTTCCTTATATACATTTTTGGTAAAGATGATTTCCCCACAGCTTTGTTTCACCTCCTGCAGGATGGTGAATGGAGGAAGCAGATAATTAGTATTTTCTTTTCCAGGCTTCATTCAATGTGACTGTGAGTATACCAAACTGTGAGAGAAAAAGCAGGCATGTTATCATAAAGCCTGTGGGGCTGGGGGACACCCTGGAAATCCTTGTCAGCCCAGAATGCAGCTGCGATTGTCAGAAAGAAGTGGAAGTGAACAGCTCCAAATGCCACAATGGGAACGGCTCCTACCAGTGTGGGGTGTGTGCCTGTAACCCAGGCCACATGGGCCCTCACTGCGAGTGTGGTGAGGACACGCTGAGCACAGATTCCTGCAAGGAGACCCCAGACCATCCCTCGTGCAGCGGAAGGGGTGACTGCTACTGTGGGCAGTGCATCTGCCACTTGTCTCCCTATGGAAACATTTATGGACCTTACTGCCAGTGTGACAATTTCTCCTGTGTGAGGCACAAAGGGCTGCTCTGTGGAGGTAGGCTACATCTAAGTGCATCTTACATTATAGCTGTTAATGTACCAGGATGAGCTTTGCATTTTTGCTCCTTCCTTGTTTTCTTGGGCATAGTAAGTGCTCAATAAATATTTGCTGATCAACTCGGTGGGTTACACCAAGTCTAAACTTGGGATAAAGGAAACTTCTATTGCACTGTTTTCCGGCTTTAATATTCACTTGGGGTGAGATATCTGCCAATGAACTTACAGTTCTATTATTAGTAAAAAGGTAAAACACGGAAATACCTTCACTCCAGTTATCACCCCACTATACAAAACTGTGTAATCTGAACTCCATTATCTTCTAGACTTTCCTGGGTTAAGCTACTAGGTCTGATTCAACTCTTAAATGTTTGCTACTTTAAAAAAAATAAAAAATCAGACTGCTAAAAAATAAAAGTCTACTGCCTGGGACAAGGAGAACAGAAGTCCTAAGTGGATTTTCATGACCTTTACTCATTCCAGAAATATTGATTAAACACCTATCATGTGATAGATACTAGGTTTAGTTGAGTCTTATAAAGATGGGTAAAGACACATGTGAAGAAAGAATAAAAACAGAAAGAATACAAACAGATAATTGCTTCTAGTTCTCAAGAAATTTGAGAAAAGTTTAAAATCTCTCATTAAAAACAAATTTATGACTGTTATAATTTATTCCAATGTATATACACATATAGTTAAGCATAACTTCCCGACAAGAATTATTAACATATTCATATAATTTTAAATTACATAAATTTGTACTGCTTGAAATACTAACTGGCTGCTGAATTTAAGATCTGATGTCTTAGTTTCTTGCAATGTATAAGCAGAGAGCTCTTCAAAACAGAAAGCTATTTAGCTTTGCAGAAAACTAAGCAAAGTTATATTTTCAAACTGTAGTGTCAGGAACATATGAAAGAGACTAATTTCCAAGAAGTAAAAAGCTGGAGAAAAGAGGCCTCCAAACACTCTGAGCTTTTTGAAGACAAAAAAAAAAAACATCTTAGGTGTTTACTATTTTCATGTCTTGGCATAGCTTCTGCTGAGAAAAATTTGCCTTCCCACTCCTGGCCCCAACAAAGAGTGAAAACTTTAGGATCTGTTCCAGTTCTGATGCATGTCTCTCCCCTTTCATTCAAAGGTTTATTTTCTGATTGTACGAGAGCTTTCTGTACCTGTATCACTTCTTCCTTCACGTGATGTCTACAGGACACAATCTAAAAGTCTTTTAATACACACATATTCAAAACATTTGACTTTACTCTTTAAAAATCCCAAAGGCAACATAGTCTAGTAGTGATACTAACTCTGTCTGCATTTCATCCTTTACATCTGGATCAGAGGGATCTGGGACAGTGTAAATCACTCAGCTGTGCCCAGAAGCATACATTCTTTGATTATCTTTCACTGTATTTGTATGAAGAAGGAACAGACATAAACTCAGAGAGAGGTGGCTCGATTTGTATACTACAGTTAGGATGTTCTGACAAAAATACCTCTGTTTTTAATCAGTTACACAAATTCTGTTTAGAAAACACGATGATATCTTCAACTGGACTTAGAAAACTTGATCAGTGCCCATGTGCTTCACACCGTGCAGTACTTCATGATCTTCACACGTTACTGTTTCTCAAAAACTATCTTTTTCTAGTAGCATCACAAAAGATGTTATTCTATAATTAGTCTCTAAGTACACTAAAAGTAAACACAGTTACTTAAATTTAACAAATATTTGTGGAATATCCACTATGTGTCTGGGGTTGTGCTTGGTGCAGGGATAAAAACTGCCTGGCACTATTGAACAGATGCTGCTGCTGCTGCTGTTGCTGTGATTTTCAAAGTAGACCAAATAGGCCACAGCTTCACAACCTGTGTCATCTCATTTATTTCACAAGTAATGGCTTGGCAATGTGCTGCTTTCTGAAGGGCTATTATCGCAATGTCCTTTTTCATGCAACTTCTTTCATCCATCTGTAATACTCAAAGATAGAGGGCTCCATTGATTTTTTTTTTCTTGACCAAATTCCATTTGTCTCTTGTACTTTGATTCTAAGAGACTGGACACAGTAACAGGCAAATGGCATAGAGAACAGATTTCTTGCCATTATGCACTTACAGTTATTTGTCAGGACTTTCAGAAAGATCTATCCATCTGAAAAGAGTCTGCTAACGACTTCTTAGTTATCATCTCGCCTCTACATGTGACTAATATAAACTTCTTGTTGTTGTTGTTGCTGCTGCTGCTGCTGCTGTATGAAAAGGTGTTTTAGACAATGGTTGCTTGAGGATATCATTTTGCAACTCTGGAGACCAGGTTGCTGATTCTGAGGCCGTCCCAGCTGAGGGTTTCTAAATTCTAAAAGGAATGTTTTGTATTTTTATTGTGATACAGCTTTTTTACTGCTTTAGGAAGAGTTATCTAAATCTCTGCCACATAATTCTTACAGGTAATGGTATCCTTTGGCATTCTCAAAGCATCTGGAGATGGGTATTTCATTTACTAATAGTTATAGATCATATTAATTTTTCAGACTGCTGCAGTTTAGAAATGTCTTCCTGTCATGAATATAAATTTCTCCTTTTGCTGAGTAAGGAAAAAAAAGATATTATAGCTCTTAAGATTGCTTATATATAAAAATTTTAGCCTGAGTTAATTAATTATTCTTAGTTTTGAATGAATTAGTTCAATTATGAATTACATAGGTAATGAAAAGCAGCTGGGTATATTTTAACATCATAGATCCAGACAAAGTTTAATTTGACTTTCATTAGAGAAGTATGTGCTTTTAGTATATGTACATAACACATGTATATATGGAGCAAAATATATACACACTATATGCAGAATTACATAGTATGTATGCACACAGAGACACATACGCATATGCACACAAACACACACACACACACAAACACACACACACACACACACACACACACACACACACACCAGAAGCAATCAGAATCCATCTTTGAAACTTTTGTGATTATTTTTTTTTCAGTGATTCTTGTCCATGTAAACCATTAAGTCAAAGACTCTGCTACCCTTAGTCCTTTAGGCCCAGTAATGAAGACATAAAAGGAGCTAGCTACTAGACCAAAGTTTACAAGAGAAAACCCAGCACCCACCATTCTGTAGTGAACTTGACAGTGAAAGAATGAATCATTTGTGATTTCGTTTTGCATACTTCATTTTCAGTAAAAGTGTAGAAATTTTAATACTGATGAATAATTTTACTTATAAATTCTTACCAGACATTTTGAAGAATAAAATTAATAACTAGTACTTATGTAGAGCCGAGTTATGGGCCAGCTATTGTTATGAGCAATGTTATAAGCTGTAGATAATTCTCAGTTTTGCTGAAAAACCAAAACTTTTGGTGCAAAATGCATAAATGTGCATTTCTTTTTCTGAAAAAAAGTATCACTTATGAAAGAATTTGTAAGTAAATGTTATTTGTTTGGATCATTCAAATGCCTGTTTTAGTGCCTTGAGCATGGCAGGCACACAAAAATATTATAGGAAGGAACAAAAACTCACTCTCCTAAACACTGTATCATTTTAGAGTATGTTGTACAACTTATGATGTGGCCAGATCCATAAAGAGTTTTCCAGCACTGGATAAGCTACTTGTTCTCAGAAACTGGCCCTCTGCCTCCCCACCCAGCCTGGGTTTTTTGCAGCGTCAGCAGCAGCATCCCCATGATTTCTGCTCTCGGTGTCACTCAGGAGAATGCTTTTCCGTGACCACATTTTCAATGCTCATATTCTCTAGAATTCTCTCTCTGTCTGCTTTCCCTGGATGACCTGGCCCAGCTTGGCTACTCGCTAGTGGATCCAAACCCCAAACTTCAGGCTCATCTATAGATATTCAACCACCTAGGATGACTAGGAGAGACAAAAGTGAATTAACATAAACAAATATTATTTCCTCTTCTGTTTTAGGACCATTTATTCACTCAAAATTTGAGCCCTGCGGGCATTAGGTGTATAGCAGTGACCATGTGCTGGCTGCCACTGTAGGTGGGCACCAGGGAGGATTCCATCCCTATCTGTCTGCCCTCACAAAGCATGTTGCACCTGTCACACCGTGCCCTGGGCACTCTATCCCCGAACTGTGTGTCCTTTCTTTTTCCCATTTATTGCCAGTGGTTCAGGTCCCTATTTTTCAAAGACCTCCCAACTGGCTTCCTGTCTCTAGTGTGATCTCTCTACTGATGCCAAGATACTTCTAGGCATACGTACATCTGACCAGACCTTTCTCCTACATAAAATTTCAAAACCTTCAGGAATAAAGTTCTTACTTAAAGCTCACGATATTTCTGATAACCTGACCTCTACCATTTTGTTGACCTTTTCATCCTTTCCCATCCTTAGCCCACTCCATAGGATCTTTATCCATATGAAACTTCTGGTTTTAATCAGGTCACATGATTCCATGCTTACATCATTTGCCTATGCCTTTTTCTGTGCTTCAAGTGCATGTAACGCTCTTCTAACTATCTGCTCTCTTTATCTTTCAAATTCAACCCACGTATCATTTCCTGTGGAAACTTTCCCAGATTTCCAGTGCAATTTGAAAGCTTTCCCCCTGTGTACTCAGACTTATCAATCTGTATTATATTTAGTAGGAGTATTTACCATTTTTCTATAGTAGATTATAAATTCATTGACCATGTCTTACTTAATTCTATATCTTCATGACTAATATAATCTTTGGCATAGAGTATATGCTCAATTAACATTTGTTAAATGATGACTTTGTTATGACAGTTATATAATAAGTTGCAAAATGACTAATATAATATGCTCTATACATTCATCAAAATCACTGTGTGCACAAGCACAACATAAAAGCTATTCTGTAAAACAGAACAACACAGCTGTTCTGGAAATATATGTATCTATATGTGCATACCTATATTCATATGTAACTTCTTGTTCTTATCCAGTAAATAGTGCTTTACAAACCCAGTAAAGAAATATAATCACATCTGTTTTTTAACCTCCTCCAAAATGATGACTTTGTTGAGTACTCAGTGTGTGCCTTTGGGACAAATAATTGGTGAATACAAAAAGAGGAGATTTATATACATTATCTCCCTGATCACAACTATTAGAAGTAGATTGGTTCCCTGTTTTATAAATGAGTCTTTCATGATCAATCATATTGAGTTATATAAAAGAGTAGGTATGGACAGGGATTACATGCTGCTGTAGCTTATGATATATTAATTAAAAACAGAAAATGAAATGAACCATATATATATATTGACAAACACAGACTCACCAAGTAACTACTTAATGATATCTAGATTATCTCATTTTGTTTGGTTATGGTCTTTTTTCTAGAACAAGGTAGTCAAGTGGATCTTGAGTTAAGAGACCAATCAATAAATATATGCTGTTGCTAAAACACATTCAATAAAGTATATCCACACACATGCTTCCATATCTGTCTGTCTGTCTGTCTGTCTCTCTCTCTCTCTTTCTCTCACACACACACACACACACACACACACACACACACACACACAAAGAGTTTTTTTATTGTTTTTCCACATTTTTACTAACATTTTAAAGCAAAGAGAAAAGATACCCTCATTCCCACAAAACCTTCAGGTGTTTTGGCCATGAGTAGCCTTGAGCGTGTGTTTTACAGATAACGGAGACTGTGAGTGTGGGGAATGCGTGTGCAGGAGTGGTTGGACCGGAGAGTACTGCAACTGTACCACCAGCACAGACACCTGCATCTCCGAAGACGGCACGCTCTGCAGCGGGCGCGGGGACTGCGTCTGTGGCAAGTGTGTCTGCACGAACCCTGGAGCCTCGGGACCCACCTGTGAACGATGTCCTACCTGTAGTGACCCCTGTAACTCTAAACGGTAAAGTCTCCCCTCTCTTTTGTCCTTTCATGGATAGGTTTTCTGGTGATCAAAGTTCTAATGACATTTTGTAAACTCAGACCTCAGATCGTCTTTGCTGGTTTTAGTCTCCCAGCATCAGTGAAAACACACAAACCCCTCAGGGCCCTGTGATCCTTGGCCTGGAACGCCAGTCTCCCTTCTGCCTGTTTCTCAGTCCTGATTACCCAGAATCACAATGTCACATTTCTGCCAGAGACAGCATGGGAAAGTACAGCTGATGTCCCACACTGATAATATCAGATGGCCTCTGGGTTACAATACCAGCCACACAGAAGGATTGTCCTGGAGGTATTCCGCTGACACCCACGTGCAGTCAGAGCCTTTTCAGGGGAAACAGACAAGCCTCTTTCTAGCTTATAGTTTAACCTTCCAATCTATTTCTATCCATAGACTGGTGGAGGCAGAGGCAGAAGGATGATCTTATCTTTCAGCTCCCTCCATAGGATCAGCCTGTGGTCTTTGGTGTCTTTGTGTGGTTGTTATTATACAAATCTATTAAATATTGTACTTTTTTATACCATAAGAACAATAATAATCTCTTTTAAAAACCCACATTTTCTTATTTGCTGGAAAGAGAGCTATTTGTTTGGTTAGTACCTAACTTCCTCATAAAACTGGAGCAAAATTTACAGGTTGAATGAAGCAAGTCCCCAGGATGACTGATACACTCCAGTGTATATAAGATAGCAAAAGCTTAAGACACTCATATTTTCATTGACTCTGGTACCCAAAATGATGACATTCAGTTTTTCAATGTAATCAGACAAAATCAATTTTTCATCCAGTAGTTACTCACAATTCAGCTGTCAAAGCTTCTCTGTCACTGTCCCAGGCAAACAAAGACATGCTGGAAGTATGAGGGCATAATTAAAATTATTCAGATAGAATCAAATGTAAAATTTCCCTTCACATTTTCTTCATTCGTTTGCTAATTTATCTCTTTGGTAAACATAAGTTAGTCTTAAATCTGATTTGTGCAGTGTAAAAATTAACAAGGTAATTAAAATTTGAGAATCAAACAGATCCCCTTAGTATTTGTTAGTTTTGAGATGAGTCCATTCCTCCATTTACATGATATTCACTTGTCAGATAGGTATTTTAATGGTGTTAGATCATGGGTTTGCAGCAAGGCCTGAGAAGCTATAGGTTCCTACTTTCAAAGGTTCTGAGAGTCAAATGGAAAAGTTGAATATTTTTGTAAATTAACCACAGTGGTATCCAGGATGCCACTGAAAAAGGGGATGTAATAAACTCTATGCAACTATATGGCAGCCAATAAGGCCACAAGTCTATCATGGTAGCCATCAGTGGCAAATACTAAGGAGTTTTTAAGGGTTTCCACAATCTCCAGCAGGCCCCCACCAAACAGCTCCATAAAATATGTAATTTAGGTAAAGGCAATACACTGGCAAAGCAAAGGAAACTTCACAGCAAGACCTCTTTTACCATTCCCACATAGGTCTCTGCTCCTCAGCCCTTCATGTATAGGAATTCTGTGGCTTCCACTGCAAGGAACAAACCCATCCTCAAGAGTCAGGGAAAGTTGCCTAAGGAAGTGCAGCTTCAGCTGAGATTTGTTGAGGCATGGGTGGAGTGTGTTTTGAGCACTTAGAAGAGTATACATTTCCATGGATTCCTGGGAGAGAGAGGTAGTATTGTGTCGGTTCCCATAGTAAAAAAGCTTGTGCCATTTTGGCTTACTCCAGCACTATCTACTCACAAAGGGATCGGCAGCACAAAATTAATGCAGGCTCTCCATTTTACTTTGGTCTCTAGACTACTTTAAGATACCATAATTTCCTTATATTCTTGGAAATACATTTTTCTACAAGTAGAAATCTTTTTTAAAATACTCCTATGAATTCTTGGACTTATTAAAAAAAACACAACAGAAAAGTGGACTTTTAAAATAATCATATATGACATATATGAATATCATTAATTATTCTGGGAATTCTGATTGAGATATAGCTCATTTCTGTTAAAAAAAAAAACTCAAAGTTTTGTCCTGTCTTTAAAATCATTTATGTTTGTAATAATCTTTCCCAAGGAAAAAGTAAAATGAAAGAATAGCTAAATCAAATGCAAAAATATTTTTTTCTTAACCAATCAGAAGCAATCACTAAGAGAATGCGCAGTATTTATAATCAAGGCCTATGCTTGAAACATGGATTACTAAATGGATTACTAAATGCAGTGTCCTTGTGAATATCACCAAAATGTCTTTCTGAAAGTCAGAAAGGCCAGATACTCTTGTAGCACAAATTGCCACAGCAGCAGCAAAGCATATTTCAGCTGCACATCTGTTTTCCACCAACACCAACTGATAACCTCTGTTGAATCCTGTCTACAGGAGCTGCATTGAATGCCACCTGTCTGCAGATGGTCAGCCTGGAGAAGAATGTGTGGACAAATGCAAACTAGCAGGTGTGACCATCAGCAAAGAAGCAGGTGCTCTACTTGTCTTAAATTGCCTTTGTTTCCTTTACCTAGTTGTTCTTGGGAGGCAGAAACTCTGTGACTCAAGGGCCAGTCAGGCCATCAGGCTCACCCTCATTTATACCAGGGCTTTAGGCCACTCATATTCCTTAACAGTAAAAGCGTTCTGTAAGGCTACGAACTTGATGGCTTGGGATATAGGCAATTTAAAGTCAAGGCTATTTTTTGGACCACATCCCTGTTGACAAGTTCACCTCTGCTTCAAAAATGCAACTGTAGAGACTTCCAGGATGCAATATTTTCCAAACTAGAAGGAAGACAATTGAAGAAATGGCTAAATGTTAATCCCCCAAACTTGAAATTATCCTCTATCATCTAATTGCTTTGTTTTAAAATAAGGTAAGGCAGGCTGTCAAACAGTTTTCTTGATTTTAGTCTTACATGCTGGGCAGTTCCTAGCCAGTGGCCCTTTTTCCTTAATCCTCTCCTCCTCTCAATCTTTTTAAGGAGTAAAGTGCTTTTACTTTTTCCCCTTTTGCCTCACCCCTAAAACTAGGAGTCTCTGTTCTCTCTTCTGCAATGCAAACTCTGCTCTTGCTGTCATCAGTCCTTACATGTTTAATTATGTAAAACTGTGTTTTTTTCTGATGGCAAAATTTTATCTCAGATATTTAATTCAATTGCATTTTAGCTGGAAGGCTGTTTAAAAAGTTAATTGGTGAAGTTTAAACGAAAGATGACTGAGTCTTCTGAAAGAGACAATTTAGAGGAATTTGGTTTTGCATCATCACAAACTCTGCATTATCATGCTGCTCAGGAAGAAGTGCTACTCTGCAAACATTATGAATGTGACCAAGACCATTGCAGGTGATAGGAAATAACCCAGACAATAATTTATGACACTGTAGAATATGTATTCTGAATAGATGAAATTAGAATTTTGAAATTAATCCATTTCCAAAATGAACAGGTATAATGACATTTATATTCTTTTGAAAATTACCTTGTTTCAAAATTGAGAAATCTGACTGTACAGTTATATTACCCTATGTGGACAGACATGATTAGTGTTCATAAAAGCCCTCATTTATGCTTTCCTGGTGACCTAAGATAAACATGCCAAATAGCAGTAAATGGGATAAGACAGTATGTACCTAAGACTAATACCAAAGGTAAAAACACATTACAGCACCGAGCGAAGCAGCATTTGTCCACATTCATAACTAGTGCTGAGTCTCAGCCTGTCTTTCTAGGTTCATTTCACAGCAAACAGGGGGAATATTTACCAGATGGCTCTGAGAAATGAGCACAAATTGCAGAAAATGCCCTGCAAATGACTGGAGCTCAATTCACTACCAACATGGGAAATCTAATGTGTTAAAGGAAAGAAAAGGAATAAACCTTAGAAAAATGTAAATCCTGATGCTGTGAACAGAGCAGTTACTGTAGTTAGGTACATAATTCCTAGTAGATTGTCCTAAGTGCTTGTATTTGAAAAAATGGCTAGGCTAAAGTGGTGTTTAAAACATTTACTTTTTTCTTTTTGCCTGTTGGAATTATTTTCAAAAGACAGGTACACAGTATTTCTAGCTCAGAATTAGAAATAATAGTTGGATTATTAGTACTATTTAAAGCACCAATCTGGATGAATTTGAGAGAAAAAAAGGTATTTGTCAGACTGAGTTAAAAAACCAAATTTCTTTTTTTTTTTTTTTTTTTTTTTTTTTTTGTCTTTTTCATCAGTACCAGGGATCAAACTCACGATCACATATTTGCAAGGTAGGCGCTTATGCCGCTAAACTAAATCCCCAGCCCTGCCAAATTTCTTTTAAGTACTAGGGGCTTCCAGGCTTTCTGAACTGCATTCCCCCCTCCCCAGACCTTTTTATTTTTATTTTTTACTTTGAGATGAGATCTCACTAAGTCATTAAGTCCAGTCTGAGCTTAAATTTGTGAGCCTCCTGTGTCAGTCTCCCAGAGTACTGGGATTACCAGGGCTTGGGGGTGGGTACTTCTTTAATAAGCCTGCTTGGAATTATGCACCCACATATTACATTGATTACACTACCTTGAAATGATCATATCATATTTACTGTTCCACGAGGTCTTTTGGTAAACCCATGCATCCCCAACAAGGACACAGAGAGTGAAATAATCTAAGTTTATAATTCATTTGAAATGACCCTGAACTGTGCTGTGGGTACCTTGGGTGAGCACATCTAAGAACATGTGATTTAACCTTATTCATTCTATTTTACTAAGTCATGTTTTTGATTACCCCAGCATCCATGTACTCAGAGTATTGTTACTTAAAACATACTCCATGGAACACAGTTCTAAAGGCATCGAATATGAAAAGGCAGCCACCATTATATAAATTTTGTTAAGACTTTTGAGAGTTGTTGAGCACATTAAATTAAGTGAGCATATGAATCCCCAGGGACGCAACTGAAGAAACCAGAGTAAAGGAGAGATTGTCACACGTATTTGAGCATAGAACCCTTTACTCCCCTTGGGAAGCTGTTTTCTTTGAGATCTGCTAACCTACCCCAGAGCTGACGTCTTAAACCTCATGGTTCTCTTGACTCAGCTGGGCAGATGGTTTATATTTTCCCGCATTCTTCCTGGCTTTTTCCAGGCCTACCCTCTTCACCTTCTCTCTCACATTTCTTCTTTCTCTAAGTATGATTTCATGGGCTGCCTGAGACCTTATTTTCACTGGGTTATTCTAGAGTAGCCGATCAAGCACTCACAAAGGAGGGTAAAAAAAGAAAAGCTCATTTTTTATGAGCAACAAAAGAAAGCCTTAGCAGCTAATTATGCAAATCTTTCAATGAACATTTGATAAATACTAGTTCAATACACCCAAACACTATAAAACAGGCTACATCTAGAGCTGTAACAGGAAAAATAGTGCTAATGTTATTAAAGCAAGACTGGAGTTGTGACTCAAAGGTCACACTCACAGTTCCATTAAAATTTAAATAATCCTAGCCAAGAAAAGTAAGCCTCCCTGTGCTTCAGGACAGCCATTTGAAAGAAAATAAAACACAATTAATATTACTGAATGAGCATGATAGGCCATTGACATGTTTTCTACCTGAGAACAGAATGTTCCATTAAGTATAGTCAAGGGAGCAGAGATGGCCTGAACTGTCGTGGCAGAGAAGGGAAGGGAGGAGGAAAAGAAGGCAGAGAGGGAGGGAAAAAAGGAAAGACTTCGTGTGTCCTAATTAATTGGAGTAGCAAGGTGGGCAGGGTGTAGTGAAACCCTCCTAACAATGACTGAAGTACGGTCTGTAAATGCAGTGCCATTTGCAGTCTAACACATGAAATAACTCAAATTTCACTAATCAAGTATACCCAGAATCATTTTATTAAGATGCTTAATAAATCGTTCCCTAAAATTTCACAGTCTCACATCAAAATCCCTCTCCCTGAAATCCACATTTTTTCAGCTCTCAGATGATTCAGATGGTCATGAACATTCGGAAAGGACCAGACTAGAATGCTTGTAATTAGATTTCTCAGTGTGCATATATAAATACATAGATAATTCTAATGAGGTAAAGAGTTTACTCACATAATTCTGTTGTCTGAAATCTTATGCTAAATGTTTTACTACACCCATCTTCATGAATAATACAAAGCACACTTCTTATAGGATTTTATAAATCCAAAGACAAACAGCAATGACAATTTAATATTTATTCTTCTACAGCTGTAGTACTTGGGAACCCCAAGTAGGTTATTACTTAATTTTTGTTGGGGAGAAGGAAAGAAACACACATAGATTCTGTTTTATTAACACTATTTTTAAGCTAAAAATAAAGATAAGAAATCTAGGATAAGTGTATCCAGGACCATCTGGTACAATTTCATTCTTAATATTCTGAAACACTACCCTAAAACACACAAATATTTGATCACATGTCATATATTAGAGTAAATTTCTGGCTGAGGATATAGCTCAGCAGCACAAACTCCAGCCTGACAAGTATGAGGATGAGAGTTCCATTCCCAGTACCAAAAAAAAAAAAAAAGAGTAAATTTTCCAGCACTCAGAAGGCTGAACCAGGAGGATCCTTTCAAGTTTGAGACCAGCTTGGCCTACAAAGTAAGTTTAAAGCTAGCCTTAACTGAATACCCTCCCTCAAAAGAGAGACAGAGACAGAGACAGAGACAGAGAATATTGAATGGCCATTCTCCTCACTCATGTCTGAAAAACTGCTTCAAGATTCTCCAACTTAAAAGATAGGGGAACTAGGAAGGAGTTTGGGTTTTTGTTTTGTTTTCTTTAGTTAAGAAAATGCTTCATGATTCTTGCAGAGGAGCTAGACCACTAGAATGTCTAGTAAATAGATCTCATATTAGCCTTTTACTTTTTTGTCAGTTTCTTAATTAATTAATTCTTTTTAATTAAGAAAGCTATGCTGAATGACAGATAGTCATTCTGGACTTCTTTTAATCTGAGATCTCTCTCTGCTCCTTGTCCCTTAGCTACATAATGCTTCAGCCTCTATTTCTTGATATTACCTTATTTTTAAGATTGTGACAATATATGGCTGGCAAACTTAACTCTGCCATTGTGAGAAAGGCCCCTTTAAAAGTATCAATATCGGTTTGGACTGAGCAGCACTGTAATCCAGACATCCTCTCAGCCCTCTCAGCAGTGAGGAAAACACAGCCCCCTCATTACCATAATCAGGGCTATTCTATTCCCGAGACAGCTGTGGGCACCTGCCTGGGAGTTCGTGCTATTGAAATCCTGCCCTCGGCAGTTTGATAGGTACATGCGATGGTCAGTCCTGATTGACCACATCTGGAGTTGTTCTTCTGGAACATGAATGAAAATGAAAATCTCTCTTGGTGGGAAAAATTCTATGCCTTTTCAATTCCCATTCTGCAATATTGAAAATTCTCATTTGCATAGTAAAACTCAATACTACTCTGCTTTTAAGATAATCTCTTTTGAATCCAATTTGACCTAATGAATGACTCCTTTATCTACAGATTTCTCAAAGGATAGTTCTGTTTCCTGCTCCCTGCAAGGAGAAAATGAATGTCTTATTACATTCCTAATAAGTACAGATAATGAGGGGAAAACCATCATTCACAACATCAGTGAAAAAGGTGAGTGACTTGCCTTCCATTGTGTGTGACAAATAATGCTACACAGAAGAAAATATTTGGAAAGCCATGTTAGGTAGTTTGCTATAACAGATATTTACAAATTTTAATGGAATGCTGCTACATTACCAAAAATACTCATCAAAAGGTTTTCTGTGTTCCACTGTCTTCCAGTGAGGCCAGATAACACAATGACTTTCTCTTTCTCTGTCCAAAAGTGGGTGCTGAATTGTGGAAAGGAGAACTGATAAAATCAAATGTAAGCAAAAGGCATATCTTTTGGTAAAGCAAATGGGGAGGAGTATAGCCAATTTTAAAATGAGGTTAAATTGCACAAAATAGTTCTGCTCTGTCTCTTAATAACTGCTCCACATTCTGGAACATGCTTGCTTTTCTGAGTCCCTATTTCCTCATCTGTAAAATGGAGGAGAAATGGTACTTTAAAAAAAAAAAAAGCTGATTCAAGGAATGAATAGAATAAGGCATACGGTGTCACATACCTCACAGCAGAGGGCCATTAAACCATAGTGCTGAATCAGAAAAGATGCAGTGCAGCCAGTGAGGAAGGATGGTGTCCACAAAGAACCTCTGAGACCTCATTCTTTCTGTGCATTTTTATTAACATCAAGGCCTGCAGTCAGGGATTTAGGAGCTGCACAAATAAAAATTTCATATTCAGCAAAGGGAAGAGAGAAGTTTATATTAGGTACAAACAGAAGTAGCCGAGAATGTGCTTTTTATAATTATCTCTTTTTTTTTTTTGTCTTTTTTGTTTTTATGGGTACCAGGGATCAAACTCACAACCGCACACTTGCAAGGCAGGTGCTTATGCTGCTGAGCTAAATCCCCAGCCGAGAATGTACTTTTTAAGAAGTTTTCAAGGGGCTGGAGATTTAGCTCAGCGGCATAAGCGCCTGCCTTACAAGCAGGCAGTCGTGAGTTTGATCCCTGGTATTGATAAAAAACGAAAAAGACAAAAAAAAAAAGAAGTTTTCGAATGTGGTGGTTATCAGACTCCTGGAGAAACTTGTAAAGCCTCTGTCTGGAGTCAGCAGGACCAGTGTGTGGCCCAGAACTCTGCATTTTAGTGACCTGACCCCAACACAGATGGTCCCAAATTCTGTCTTTGACTGACTGCCCTGACAACTCTCGCTAAAGAGCTGTCAGAAACGGGGTGTTGCATCTACTGTCTTCAATTAATGATGTGTTCCCACTACAACTTCCCTAGAAATGACAGCTGCATGAAATCAGACCTCCTCAGACTCTGTCCCTCGCCTCCTCCTCTCCCCAAAGGCCTGCAACCTCGGTTTTAACCCAGATGACAGCAACAAGTGCAGACCACAAAGCTACCTTGCTTTCACGTACTCACAAAAAGAAAAAACAATGAATCTGTGCTATTAGGGAGTAAATCAGGGATAGTGTGTGAATGGGAAAGAGGAAGACAGACTGATTACAAAGGGACACGTGAGAGCTTGTAGTGATAGTAGCCATGTTCAGGATCTTGGTTTTGGTGTAGTATACATTTGTCAAAACTCACCAAATTATGCTTTCATATATATGTAGTTTATTAGCTGTCAGTTCTGACTTAATAAAATTATAAAAATGAAACCAAAAAGTAAGTCTTGAATCTGAAATCAAAGCTATCAATTGGCACCACTTAAGCACATAAAAACTAAAATAATATGGTGTAATCAAAAATAGTTTTAAACCATCACAATCCAATCAAGAAAATGAACAGAAAAAAAATCACATTTCCATGCAGAGCACAAGAGAGAAGTGAAGGTCACACAATCCAAGAAATGTGAGGATCACTGAGAACTTGGTTTTAAAGCTCAGGTAGGCAGAGTGCTCCTGGAGGCCTTCTCTTGAAAAATATCTGGCTTGTTTTTCAGTTTGCTTGGAGGACCCTGGGAACAAGTAACCTTCCCCTCCCTCTTCCTCCTTTCTCATTCTGCCTATTTTTGCCCTGAGTTCCAAATTTGAAGACCTGGGATTCCAGGTCTTCACACTGTGGGAAGGAAAAGACAATTGACGTGTGGGGTGGGCATTGTCTGTGGAGCTCTGGAAGAGCCAGGCCCATTCAGAAACTGGGATGTTCGCGGAGGAAGAGGCAGCTGTGGGGCTGTCGGGTGACTACTGTGAAGCCTCAATCAAGCAGGTAATTTCTTCCTTCACTTTTCCTTACTACCAAAGCATAGGGACAAATAAAATAGTGTAATAAAAGGGCATCACAGAACCTGTGCATGCTCTGAAGGATGGCAGGGTGATATGCCACTCACATTGTGTGGAAAAGTAAAAGAATAGACAATTTAGTAATGAGGAAACATTTATCAGCCCGAGGCATGTTTCACAGGAAAAAAAAATCAGACCAGCTAGATATAAATCAGATCAGCATTAAAAAGAGGGTCTGCTCTGGAAATGTGTTTTTGTTGTTTGGGATGTGTTTTCCAGTAGAATCAGTATTCTGTGGGTTTACAGGATGATTTTGATTTCAAGATAACTTGCTGAATCCACTGTCATAGTCACAGATGATTGGAGAATTCAACTTTATAAAGCAAATAATGAGAGTTTCTTTTGTATTATAAAGCTATTCATCCTTGTGCAACAAGATTCACCTTATGTTTTCTTAACTAAAGGCTGTAAGATGAACTTGGTGTATGCATTTTTAAAAAATCAGTTTAAAAGAGATTTTTTCAAGAGAAGGCCTCCTGGAGCACTCTGCCCACCTGAGCTTTAAAAGCAAGTTCTCAATTATCCTCACATTCTTGGATTGTGTGACCTCCACTGGGTAGACTTTCACTTGCAAACAAAAATCATGGTACTTGTGGACTAGGGCAGAGCTTTGTTCATCTTCCTTCTTACATTAGGAGGAACTTTCAGAGCCTGAGTCACATAGAGCCACGGAATATAGCGGAGGAGGCTTCCTGGGTGGAAGTAGCCATCTTCAGTGAATGCTGTACCTGCAGGTTCTACCCTGGAGAATCCAGGCCCTAGGTGTCTACAGATAGAAAAGGGAGAAGAGTGTTGTTGTAACAACAGTGCTTTAGAAAGTATTGTAATAGCAGCTCTCAATGTGGAGCCCTTACTAAAGGCACATGTCAGATGTTACATGCATTAATTCACTCAGCACCGTCTGCAGCATTATAAAGCAGGTACTAATACTGTTTACAATGAAGGAAACGGGGGCATAGAGACCTAAATAATTTGCTAGGTCTTACAGTAATTAAGTGGCCGAGCTGGTTGAGGAGCTCCCGCAGTCTGGCTTGGCGCCCATTTCCTTAACCACTGTACTACACTGCCTCCCACTGGCTGTGCAGTCACAATGAACATCTGAATTGCAAAAGCTGTTAGATCGGCATGTATAGGACTTACGTGAATCGTAGGTATAATGTAAAATTTTCACGGAACCACATTAAAAAATAAAGGATACACAGGAAATAAGTTTTATTTTCTATTCTCTCCAAAGTATTATTTTAATATGAAATTAATATAAAAATTATTGTGTTACAATAAATAAATTAATAATTCTACTTTTTCACATGAATGTTCAAAATCAGTGTCCATTTTGAGCTTAATAAAACAAGTGAATTTGGAAAAATCTTCAGTAGTTGCATATGGTAGAGCTACCAGACTGGACAGAGAAGCAGCATTAGATACCCAGAATTAGATATCCAGCAGCAGCATGCAATACCCTTAACATTAGGTGCAGCTCTAACCTGGATCTGACAGGCAACATTAGACGTAGTAATGGAGATGACCTCTTCTTTGATCTACAAATATGCCTTCAGTCTGAGTATCAAATGAAATATCAAAGAGTATGAAAAGTGAAGATCTTCATTGTGTAATAGTTGCTCTGGTACTTGGGCCAAAAATCTTTTCTTGACAAATGCACAATACCTAGTGAATTTACTAAAATAATTTACTCTGCAAGCTATGCCTATTCCTCCTTTATTCCCTGCTAGAGGGTTCTCCTAGTTCACTTTCTGGCTACCAGGGCTTAGCAAACTTCATCCTGCTTTGAGCAGGAACATGCTATGTTCCACCCCAGACATTTCCTAGCCAAAGACATAACCAATACAGTGCATGTTCTCATGACACGGCCTGCTGCTTTCTCTCCAGGAATAGTGCAAACTTATTAGAGGCAGCCATGCTTAATTTTCTATGCTAAAACACAGTCTTTAGATCTCCATGCAGTAGTGGGCATGTCATTAGCAACTTTACTTATTTCTACATAATCTTCTTACATAAAAAAGTGCCAAAAAAGTGTGTAAGGTTGGGCATCATGCTGTTAGGCAATCATTAGAGCCACTCAGATTCGGATTGGCTATACATCTGATCTGAAAAACAGCATGACCAGTTCATGTGTGTAACTCCCCTTATTAAATACCTACGAGCAATAAGAGGATAAACTAAGCATTATTTATTTCCTCCCTAGGTATCATAGATTTTTCCACACTTCTTGCAGAGAGATGCAGATATTTAATGATAACTTTTATGTAAGCTTTTTTTCCATGAAAGCGAAATGAGAATTTAATTACAATATTTCATTAAGAGATGTATCATCTCCTAAGCATATTGCTAGGTTCATTAGTCTTTCTGGGATCCATGAAGGAAGGTAGTATATAATTGCAAAATTATATTACTACTATTAATAGAGTCAGATAACATTTCATAGAATCTTCAAGTTGAGAAGACCATATAGAACACCTAATTTATAAAACTTCCTGAGGATAAGAATCACTTGGAATGCCTTTAACAATGAAAAATATGTGGCCTCATCAAAAACCAGCTGAATGAGAATCTCAGGGAAGATGTCACTCAAGCTGTGGAGTAATAAGCATGAAAACCCTGGCTTGTTTCTGTGATTAGGAAAGCTGAAGGGACACCAAATTTTGTTTTACAGATGAGGTCAGGGACATGGGTACTATATATCAGATGACCCTCCCTGCTATAGCGCAAGAACTTTCCAAGATATCAACACCTTGCATTAGGGTTCAACAAAATAAAACTGAAAGCCATGATTGTCTTCTATCTGTAATAAAGAAAACAACAGCAAATATTAATTTTTTAAATCTTTGAGACAGGGTCTCATTATGCAGTTCAGGCTAACTTTGAACTCACTAACTAGCCCACAAATCACAGAGATCTTCTTGCCTCAGCCTTCTGAGTGCTAGGATTACAAGTGTGACCACCATGCCAGACTCAACATTAATCTTGAGGTTGGTTTTTATATAAATTTTTTTCTTTTTTTTTTAATACCAAGGATTAAACTCACAACTTCGTGCTTGCCAGGCAGGCGCTTATGCTGCTAGGCTAAATCCTGTTCCTTACATAATTTTTAATACACAGTGGTGCCTCAGTTCATGAACTTAATTTTTTCCATGATTCTGGTTGCAAACCAAATTGGACAAGAGTCAAATCAAATTTAATGTTTAGGTTCAATGTCAACCTTATGGGGGAATTTGATTCAGTTCTTGTCCAACTCAGCTTGCCACCAGAATCATAAAATAATTAAGCGCATGAACTAAGGTACCACTGTAATCTCCTAAACTGCTCATGATTCAAAAACACCCTTGAAGAAGTAGTTGCATGCATGGAGCACACACGCATGCATGCACGCACACACGCACGTGCACACAGACACACACACACACTCCATTTCTACTTTATCATGTATTCAGAAGAGACTACTGATTAATTATGTAGTCTTTTTATGGTCCTTTAAATATTCTATGTACATCAAAGGTCACTTTGTAACTCTTTTTAAATTAGTCATCAAATACACCGACATCCCTAGGTGTCAGCAAGTGACTGGTTCCAAGACTCTCTTGCAGATACCAAAATCTGTGAATGCTCAAGACACTTAAATAAAATATGCAATCTTGCATATGATATACACAGATTTTGCTGTACATTTTAAACCATCTCTAAATCACTTTTAATACATAATGAAATGTCAATGTGTTATAGTTATTATATTTATAGTTTAAAGGATAACATTGTGGGATAGACTATATTTGTTCAATACAAACTTTTTCCCCAGTATTTTTAACCTGAGCATACAGAATTCAGGAATATGGACAGCTGACTATATATACATTGACTTGAAATGATTAAATTTTTTTCTTTTCTTTCATTCTATTTTGAAAAAGATAGAGAGCTATCCTTTCACGAGTAACTTATTTTTTTTTTTTAATTTCAGCAAGACAAGCAATGTCAATATTTATCTTCTACTGTGGAAAAATTATGAATGGAAAACCTGATAAGTAATTTCTTCCCATGGACTGGGAATGTAGCTTAGTGGTAAAACACTTACCTTGTATGTTCAGGGCCATTGGTTCAATATTCAAAAGCTCAAAACAAAAATGTCTTTCCTAAATGAAAGTATTTATTGTTTCAGCTCTTTATACAATTTCATTTGTTTCAACAGACTGCCCCAAACCTCCAAATATTCCTATGATCATGTTGGGGGTTTCACTGGCTATTCTTCTCATCGGAGTCGTCCTATTATGCATTTGGAAGCTGCTGGTGTCATTTCATGACCGTAAAGAAGTCGCCAAATTTGAAGCAGAACGATCAAAGGCCAAGTGGCAGACAGTATGTGAACACTTAGTGCAACTCTTTGTTTGGCAGTTACTCGGGGAAATAATGGGGGTGTGTTCCACTTTCTTCTGTCTAAAGGAGCGTTCAGGTGTTACATTCCTTCTCTAACATTTTCACCAGAACCTCAACAACTTTGATTTCCATTCTGCTTCAGGGGAAAAGGAATCTTTGTCCATTATCTGGATCCAAATAGCTCTCATGACATATATACTTGTCTCTCCATGCAGTGGGGATTGCCACCTCTCTAAAGTATGAAGCTCCTGATACAGTTTAATTTAGCACCTGCTTCCCACAAGGAGGGTCCCTCAGGCCCCATTTGATAAATCATAGGTGCTGGATCTAAACATTTCCATAAAATCAGTTATTCAGTAGCTAATGGAATAATGCATGTGAGTAGCATGATAGTTCATGTCAATTTCTATGGAAATAGTTGTTGCCAACACAGTAAGTTCAAAGCAAAGCTGAAAAAACTGTTTAAATATCAGGCAGTTTTTGTGAATAACTTAAACATTAGACATCTACTAAAAGATGAAATATCAACTTTTAAATATATGTACTCAATAGAAATAATTTAAGAGTCTTTTCTTCATACTAGGCAAATAGAAAACAGGACTACAATTTTCTGTGTTTCTTTTCCACAGGAGCGATAATTACATTTCTAGAGACTCCTAGAAACAATTTCATGGTTTTAATTTCATCTCTTTATCTATAATGGTGTGTCTGCCTATCTAATAGCAATTATCATACACTGCAGATTCTAAAAACACTGGAGAAAATACAGGCAAACACAATGTTCCTTTGGGTTCATTTACAAAATAAATTGATATTAGCAATGTTTTCCCTAAGCCTATAGCAATAGCTTCAATTCCTAAAGCAAATGAAATTCTCTTTTTTGAATAATTTTATCTTGACAAGGAATATTTATGTGTTAGTCATTTCAAATTAATCGTACTATATGGTGCAGATAACAGACAATGAAACTTTATCTTACCACTAAAAATCCCATTAGATACAAACACCAAATATCATGAATGGGTCTTGCTTAGATCCTGATTTGAACAGTCTAATTATAGACTTGTATTTTTATGACAACTGAAAAAAATTAATACTTACTGAATATTACAATGTTAGTAAGGAAGTGTGTTTAATTTGATTAGGTGTGAGAAAAGCATATTGACTTTGCTAGAAAATATACAAATATTTCAGTGATGCAAACTAAAAAATATAAAAGCAAAAAGAAATGGAAGCTGGGTGTATTTTGAAATAATTCAACACAAAGAGCAACAGGGAGGGAGGATAATTAAAACATGTACTGTAAAGTCTTCATAACTGTTGAATATAAATGATGACTTTATGGAGACTGGTTATATAACTTTTCTCTTTTGTGTATGTATAGATTTTTCATGAGTACACAAAGTTTTCAGGAAAGTAAAGTGTGGATTTGCAATGAGTGATCTATCCGTAGTAAGGTACAGTGTTACCTGATGGTTGGCTCAGTAACCTGTAACATAGTATTAACAAGCCAAACCTATGGCATACTTAATATCACCTGATTAGCATTGCCACAGATATTATTGTTAACTCTCGCCAGTTGTTAAGAAACTGCTTGGCAGGGTTAGAAGGGCAACCAGGAAAAGAATGTGGTTAAACTGGCAGTAGCAGCGAGCAGGTAGACAACAGCCAACCTAGTGAAATAGGCTTGATGTCCCCATTGTGAAGATGGGCAAATTGAGATGAAGAAAGGTTGAGGACTTTCCCAAATTGAAATACAAGTGGAGTTGAACTCTTAATTGTTAACTGATCTTCCACAGCCTTTGGTTGACCCCTTAGAAATAATAAGCAAGTGTTCTACAAACAGTTGTACAATTATGTGATGAGAATCTGGTAACCAGCATATTTTAATGTTCTTATAAAAAGGCATGAGTAATGACAAATGATTAGTATCTTTAAAATAACATTTTAATTAACAGTTAATTTTCCCCCGAAACATGAATGGTTTTCCATCAGGATGTAGAACATGACTGAAATTCAAATGCCAAATTCTTGCTGTTTCTTCATCTAAAATGGGACAAAAACATGTATTAAACAGATAAAAAGCATAAATGAAAAATAGTATTCCCCTGTTAAATTGAGTTTCTTTGAATAACAAATGTTTGATGTTCCTGACTAGATAATGGCTGGGTAATAATTATTCACTTGAATGTAAAAGAGGTTTAATTCAAATCATTCAGTTCAAATTTCACTAATATATCCTCCTGGAAAAAAACAGCATCACTCAGTGCATACATTTAAAGGCCTTCAATTTAATTCAGTTTTTATCAATAACCTATTTCTTTTCAAGAAGTGAATTTGACTGATCTTTAAAACCCAGGGATAGAAGGGACAGTACAGCTTCCTTACTCTAAGACCCCATTGGACTCTTAAGGTGACAAAGCTTAAGACAGAAAGATTCCCTCTTGTTTCCTGAAATATTTCATCACAGCTAGAAAGAGAAATTATCTTTTTATTACATTTTAAAAATAGCCCCCTGCATATTCCTTATGAAAACACAAATGGAAGACATTTAAATTCACCTTTGATTAGACATTTTTCTAGGATGACAAGTCATTAACTTGAGGTAAAAAAATGTTCACTCTGACATTTCTTGCAGCCATGGATTGATTTTGTTCTATGCTAAGCAAATCAGGTCTGCATTTGACAGTTTGCGGTCATTAGGTCACGACAGAGACTTTTCTTATTATCACTTTTTTCAAGCTCGAAATATGTGCCATTGCATTTGCAGAACCCAGAGCCTAAATTAGTACCCAGTACTCCAGGAGAAAATCAGCTTGGTCACCCCAAGAGGGCTAGGGAAAAACTGGCCCATCTGGCAGTGGAGAGGAGGCTCACTTGCAATGGGACAGGACCCAGGTCTGCATCCGAGCTGGAATTCCTATGCAGGGAGGTTGCCGCTGCGTGGCACCTATGCTGCCATGTATGTTTCCACACTCCCTCCTGCCAACCAAACGGTGTTTCATCACAGTCTGAGCTCTTGTCACCACCCTACCTCCTCCTTGCCCTCAGCATAGAGATAACATCTCTCTCCAAGGGCACATGAACAAGAGCAAGTCCAACAGCAATATGAACTTGCCCTTCCCTCGCTTTCACACTGCTTCCTTCTTCTCTACTGTGCTGGAGTCTGATTTATCCCTTGCCCTGCTATGCAGGGGATCCTCTCCCCAAATACTATAGACCTGAGTAAAAAAATTGCTCCAAAATACAGAATGAAAACAGCATAGTCAAAATTGCATGTTTCAACTAAATGCCTATAACATAACATTTTCTTATTCTGTCAATTGCAACTCAAAGTATTCACTTTATAGCACATATAAATTCTGTTCAGTATGGATGTGTGTGCATTGCACACACATTCATACTGACATGATATGGGCTGGGCCTACAAAAAAAGAGCTTGGTCCTATAGAGATCTGAGCTGGCCCCACTCAAATCCTGTTAGCACTTGCTGTGTCTTTTCTGCTAAGTTCTCCTCTTCTTCCAGAATAGGGTCTGTCACCCTAGCCTGTACCTCTGTGTGTTTTTCTGTCTTGCCTCTTCATTTAAGTCCTTTAGTCTTTTGCAACCAAGCAGTGTCTAGTCCCTGAAACGTCACAGAATTCCACACATGATTTTTGTTCGCAAATGAAATTCTACCCACATGGAAGACCACATCAGTGTGCCCTTCTCCCTCAAAAATTCCAAGTTCTTATGGTAGCAGGCCTAAATAAAGACTAGAGATAACTTGAAGTTATCCAGGATGATCTCAGGACTCAAAGTAATTGTGTGCATATACCAACTCCCCCACAATGAACCGAATCAATATGTAATATAAACATGAAGTAACAAAAAGTATAAAAAATAATAAAACATAACAAGGGAATGCTTTATAAAAAAGCAATATGGCAACTGGCTTTCCTTCATCTACCACCAACCAAGGTTCCCCTCTCTATTTGCCCTCAATAAAGAGATGACATCTCTCCAAAGGCACATGAACAAGGCAACATAACATTTGATGAAAGCCTCTCTAGGCAACATAGAAAAAGAGACAGGTGTGATTCTTTCTCACAGAGAGGGCACTATAGCAAGTCCAAGGCAATAGTAGCAGAGGTTAAGGAAATAGTTTAAGTTCTGAAAACAGAAAGGAAAATATTGTACTGAGTTAGCAGATACATTTTTCTTCAAGTGTAAGCCTAGAAATTGTTACTATCCCTGCAATTCACTGGATAAAGAGATCAAAATATAAGATTTAACAGCTTAGAGGTAGTACCTGGACCTACACATGTTCAGAAATGAGCTTGGAAATGTTAAGAGCACCAGAGGAAAATATTTTTACAACCCTCCCCAGGCCTCCCAAAAAAGGAAATTGCAAATGTGAATAAAAATTATAAATAAGAACTAATAAGAAGAGGCAGCACTTATTGAACATATACCTACTTACAGGCATAGTGTTAAATTACCTTATTTCATAGATGAAGTAAGAAGTTTGTTAATATCTCTTTACTAGATGAAGACACCAATGCTCAGAGTTGCTTAAGATCAGGAGATCAAGTAGATTGCAACTATGGCTGTCTGATGCCAAAACCTACATGGTTAACCTTGGAAAGTTGGAGAGAAGAAATTCCACCTTACACGTACCCCTTGCTCCTGCGTAAAACAATTAGACAGGCTTTGTTCTGTGATCCTTGTGGCCACAGTACCACTGTGTCTGTACATGAAGCATCGTTAGCCCAAAAAAGCACAAAAAAGCTACCCAGATCCAGGGCACAACCTCCCTAAGACCCCGAGGACAAAGTCGGTTTGCCTTGTCTACCTTGACACCTCCTCTCGTGACCCCTTGGTCCCTTGCACTCAATTTTTCTCAATTTTGGCTCACCTATCACTATTCATTCTGCTTGTTCAGTATATAATTGAGTACCTTCAATAGCCTGAACCCTGTTTTTGGTACTGGAAAAGAGAAAACAAAATAGCCCAAGCTCAAGCCTTATGCTGTATTCATCAATTAGTGCATTTCAAAAAAGGATTAGGTATTTTAGAATACACATTATAAGACATTAGTTTTAAAATGCTATAAGTACAAAATATCAAATAAATCAAACTTACCCCAGTGGCTTCCTAGACTGAATTTGCCCTTCTGTTTTGAACTATAATGAAAGCATTTAGAGGTATTAAAATGATAGGAACATGTACACATTTTAATTTGAACCTTTTTTTCCTTTTTTTTTTTTTTTTAGGGAACCAACCCCTTGTACAGAGGCTCCACCAGTACTTTTAAAAATGTAACCTATAAACACAGGGACAAACTGAAGACAGACCTTTCCACAGATGGATAAACCACTTCACTTCACGCATGGGGAAAAAGTCTGTTTCACCGATATGAAAGGTTAATGCACTATTTGATTTTTCTTTCTTGCTTGCTTCAAAAGGAAGCTGGTTTAAGATAATAATAGGTCATTTGGAGATCAGTCATTCTCTGTTGAAGATGAGACACTGTTGACATGTTTAAAATCATCAAGAAGAGGAATTTCTTTAGCAAAGAGGTGACTTTGGGGATCATTTGACGAATACTAACTCTGATGCATTAATGCCTCAAAAAGTTCTCAGAATGATTCACGGGGGTCTTATTTGCATTTGAAAAATGTGTGAAATTAGATTCTCATTTGTTTCAGGAATATAGCTACCTAAAGTCTTTGTCTCAGCAAAGTCACAAAATCCATATGCTCACATTGTATATTCCCCGTTGCCAATTATTCAAAACTTTAGTAAATCTGCCCTTTCCTGAAGGAGCACTTTTTAAAATATGTGAGAAATGAGATTCTGATTTTATATCAGCTGAAAAGAAGCAAATTCTTCCAAAGATAACACAAATGTAAGATGGAAATGTAAGCATTAATAATTTCTGTAAATTTGTATCCACTTAAAAGTTAGGTACACAAGCATTCTATTTGTTTCACAGATGAAGAGGTAATTTACAGGCTAAACTTCTAGTAAAACCAAAATGATAACCCTGTCATGTAACTATTTTTAAACCACCTGAAAAATAACCTTCTATACTCAGTTTCCTTCTTATTCCTAAGCTTTCAAATTGCTTCTTTTGGAAGGTCTTCTAAATCTTGTGATTGTCATATGAAAGTAATCGTTTATTTTTAAAGATTTCTTTAAATGGCTACCTTATTCAAAAAAAAGAATCGATAATATAAGTTACATAAAGTAAAAACAATGAAGTCTTAAATGTCTTTAAATCAAGCACATTAAGTGTATATAAATCCCCCATGGATTACAGGCTTTTTAATCTATGTTCTTTTCTCATCTACATAACCCTAGATGCACATTTCAGATGCATTTGGTAGACAGGCTTTGTACATTCACCAGTAAGATTTTACTTGTAAAATACACATAGACAATTAAGAATCTGTCAGCTAATTGAAGAGTTGGAGTCTATGGGATATTATTTCTATGGTTATCGCTGTGTTTGCAAAGCACTTTCATCTTATTGGATCCTTATAAGAAAATTAAGTGTCAGAACTGGGTTTAGAATCTACATCATCTTATTCTGAAATACTTTCTCTTTTATGTGAGATGACTTCTTTTGTCAGTAAAAGATGGAAAGATGGTAATAGTTAAGTAACAACTATTTATTTGTTTGAAAATATGGAGATAAAGCAGCATTCAAAGCACTGGAACACAGGGGAATTATTGTACTGTTGTGCAATGTTTATTACCTTTGATTAAATTGTAATGTGAAGCCTTTTACTAGGTGAATAGTTACATACATGGGGGACACTTCATATAGTTATCCATTAAATTGCATATTTTCAAACCTTTTCATCATAGCAGACAGAATTGTATATATTTAGTCACTTTTATTTTTCTGGTTCCTGACTAACTCAGGTAAATCAAATATTTAGGGAGAATACTGGCTTAAGAAACAGATAACTAAGCAGTCTCATTGGGCATTTGAAGGGCTGGCACATGCCCAGGCTTCTGACTGACCCCAAGGTTCCTGGCTGACACCTAGGACCTGGGGAAAGTCCAGAGCTACACATAGGTACACTACCAATAACACAGCAGTAACAGTCCCCTCTACATGGATGGCTGGTGCTATTCTTGTATTATTACTGAAATGGTACATTAGAAAATAGAAGTTTATTTAGTGTGCATTATGGGAAAATCTGCTCCTTCTCTAAATGCTGTTTTGGCCCAAGGCAGGACCTTGAAAAGGTCAAAACATGAATCGTAGTACTTCTGTTCATGAAGAGTTGTTACACGAAGATGAAATGGTTGTTTTGTAAGTTGTTTTATTGTATTTTGTGTTGACATAAATAAACATGGTAATTTAAACAATGAAACTCAGATGGATGATAATTATTTCCATTTACTTGAAACAAAAACCTCTTGGATTTCTAAATTTTTCTATAACCTACTCTGGCCTTTTACTGGTTTCACTTTGTGACCAAGGAAATGAACAGAAAGAGTCTACCCCAGGAGAAAGGAAGCAGCAAGCCATAGGTATACTTTTCTGCATGATGACAAGACTTACATCATGATAACTTTTAAAACTGGCCCAGATGTTACCTCACATTTTGTAAATCAAATTCTTTAGCGTTAATATTATCAGCTGAAATGTGTGCCTCTTTTATGTAATTCTCCCCAAAAACCCACATACTGAAATATTAACCTCCAGCGTGCATATTAGAACTTGAATACATGATGGGGATAAGATCTTTTAAAAAATAAGTAAATAATAGGGTTGGGCCTAATCCTATATAAACTGATATTCTTAATAACAGAAGAAAGGCCATAGATCTGAACAGAAGGAAAACTATGTCTCCCTGAAGACAGGGAGAAAATGGCCATCTATAAACCAAGAAGAAAGGCTTCAGAAGAAACTAATCCTCTGACACCTTGATTTTTGGATTTCAGGCTCCTAGAACTGTGAGAAAATAAATAAATTTCTAAAGCTTAAGCTGCCCAGTCTATGGTACTTTTGCTATGGCAGTGTTAGGAAGCTAGTACAGCCAGGTGGTACCATTTGGGTGGTACCATTTTGGGACATTCACTTGATAGGTCCTATGTCTATTTTTGGAATCAGAAAATTAATCATAGAGAGATCAAATATTCACAAAGGGAGTCAGTGTACCTTATTTTTCTTTTCTTTCTTTCTTCTTTTTTTTTTTTTTTCTCAAAAGTCCTACTCCTTACAAAACGACATAAAAGGTCAAGAGTCCCTGTATTCTGAAACATATTGTTTCCTGTAGAGTATAGCCCAGAATTCTGGAAATCTAGAACCTGTTGGTTTTAGTTACCTTTTACTCATCGCTGAGACAAAATACCTGATGCACCAAGTTGGGAAAGAAAAGGTTTATTTCTTACAGTTCTTGGAGGTTTCAGTGCATACTCAGTTGGATCCAAGGCAGGGTGGCATGGCGGGCCACAGTTCATGGCGAGGCAAGCAAACAGCAAGGAGGAAACAGGCAAAAGAGAGAGGGAAACACTTTTTTCCTGCCATTACATTACATCCTGGCTCCAGCTCTATGTGGGTGTAGCACTGACACCACCAAGCCAAGCACTATTCAATGAACCAATCACAGATGCACAATGCAAATGCATGGGGCCTGGGAGCCACCAACATAAACCATGACACTGTTCTTATTTTTGAATAACACCAGGAAAGTTACTTTTTTCCTTAATTTTTCTAATTGTGAGGATGTGACAATTTCTCCTAGGAGCTATAAAATCCCTGACACATAGTAGGAAGTCAATAATTCATTCCACAAATATTTATTGAATGTCTAATAAATTCTAGAGATTGTTCTTATGAGTCTGGATATAGTGATCATTGAACGGAATGATACAGAAGTACAGAGCAAGCTCTATACTTCCAAATAAGGGAGACAATAAACACATAAGTACACAATTTTGGAGTACTGTACTAGACCCAATTTCTGCATATCCCAGGTCCATTTGCCACTACCTGCCTCCCATACCTGTCCCTGGAGTCATTCCAGCACCAGCATGCACAGTCTTCTGTGTGGTAAAGCCACAGTGCCCAGCTAAGCCTGCATAGGAGGTGGGGCTGAGCAGTTCCCATGCCCAAGTCCCAAGTGGTTTCACCACTTGCTGTCCCAACAGACCAGGTAGTACAACAGGAAAGTACGGGGAGTTGGCACCTGAAGGAAGGAACATGGTTCCCTGAAAAAGAGATGGGAAGGAACTATTTAACAGGAGCGATGTTTTCTGAGACAACAGTGGCCAACTTCCTAAAGCATCGCTGTACATTTGTTTTCCCTCATTCCCTGCCTCCCTGCCCTTTTTCCCTGAGATGCCATTTGCCAATAAGGCATTAACACATAACTTTGCTTTAGGTCTTTGCTTTATAGGAAGCCTGAACTAAGACTTCCCAGCTATAAAGCAGGACAAAACCCCATAGAACAAGAAACAAGGATTTAAAAAAACATGATAAATACAGATTCTCTGTTAAATTTCATTACACTGCAGTGATTAAAGATTCAACTGTCATAGTTACTTTCTAGCTGCTGGGATAAAATACTCAACACCCATAAGTTAAAGGAGAGGTTTGTTTTATTTTCTAGCTTGTGGAGGTTTCAGTCCATAGTCGGCTGACTCCAAGGCAAGGTGGCATGGCAGAGGGGCATGACAGAGCAAACAAAACCCAAGGCATGCCAGGCAGGAAGCAGCATGTTGAGGAAGGTGAAGGTGACACAACCTCCGGGCTACATAACCAGAGACCAACCTCTTCCCATCATGCTTCACCTCCCAATATCACACCTAGCTAGAAACCCATCAGTGGACTAATCTAGTACTGCCCACCTATGATTCAGTATCATACATCCATGATCCAGCCGCCTTCTGAAAGCCAACCTATGAGCACATGAGGCTTTTGGGGGACATTTAGATATAAATATAACACCAACTAAGTTAAAAAGCAAGAAAACCTAAGTCATTGCAGCTTCACCACAGGTTTCCTAACCGGTCAGTAGGGCTGAGAACCTGTGGCAATGGATTAGTGAGGAATTAATTCCTCTAGTCTGTGAATTATAGGGGAGGCTATCCCACTGTGCCTTGCAGGTATCCAAATGTGAATCTCTCCAGAATGAGCAAAGGGTAGGAAACTTGATCTGATCTTTCCCACTGGGTTGTAGATAGCCAAGAGTGAGCATTACAACCCCACCAGCTTTCCTGGAGCTACACCTGGAAAGGCCAGGCAGTCAAAGACATAGACTTAACCTACACATAGTCTTTGGCATCACTGACAACTGCAAAGCTTTATGAATCCCACAGAGTATCTTGTTAAGTTTGAAATTCCAATCTGACCTTTGCATTTTCATATATGTCTTTTATGAAGGAACTTACTTCTTAGTATTTATTTTTTCAACTTAAATGTACTTACCTTCATGGTTTTGCATACCAATCATTCCTGTCCTGGATTGGTATGTGCAGGTACTATACCATGAAACTCCTGTTTGTCAATAACTGATTGGATGAAAAGTCACTATGTTTATTTCTTTCATCCAAATAGTTTTGCTATACCAAATGTAGGTGTGTGTATGTGTACACACAAACCCATATTTCTTTCTTATTTTAATGGATGTATCTCACCAGGGTTAAATAGCTTTTGTGGTTAATAAAAATACATAACTCCTACTGTGATGGCTCACAACCACCCTACAAGGTGACATGATTAGCTCCTACTTTATAGATGGGAAAAGTGAGGCATAGAAATGTTAATGAGGTTTTTTAGGTTGTGAGTAACAAATTTGGAAGTGTCAAAGATAAATGAAGCCTGACACCAGTTAAGCTGGTGAGGAAGATTTTAATAATAATGTACTATTGCAAATGGAAGAGTACAGCATAAACTGAACTCACCTCCACAAAGTACTTGGCATTTAAATGGAGAAGGATTATTTAGGGAGCGCAGTGCACAGGGGCCCTGTAGTCAGGGAACTGATAACACAAGTAGCAAAGGAGTTGGTCCACGTGAAACCCATGTGGGTTTCTCAACTAGAATGTATTGAAGTTACACTTCAACCCTTTCACAGAGGCTGAGACAAGGCCCTCTCTTCCTGCGCTGACTAAATGAGCTGTAAAATTTTTGTCAATCTCAAGAATTCTCAGGGAGGCACTGTCTTATAAATCCCAGCTAAAGAAATAATAAAGATGCAACCATCTATTGATCATATGCAATAACCAGCACTTGGAAAATACACAGTCTCTCTTATATTTAGTCCCTGTGAGGTTAATCTTGCTGGGGTTTTTTTGTTTTGTCTTGTTTTGTTTTGCATTCTTGGGAAAAGGAAGCTCAGAAATCTTGAGAGATTTTTCTCAGAGTTTCTGCATTTATGAAGGACAAAGGTGGGGTTTGGACCTGAGTGTGCCACACCCCGAAGCCCCCAGTCTGGACCCATAAGGTACACAGACAGCCTCTCATGGGGTGCACTTTTGCTTTGTTCCTTCTTCAGTATACAAGGAAGATGGTACTATTAATCTTCCCTGGAAGGGTGTGTCTTAAGTGCCTTTCCCAGATGTAGCAATGGATTTTCACTAGTGCTTGTAGACTTTCCCACAAACTATGATGAAATCTTACTTTAAAATAAAGACTTTTTCAAACAAGTTAAACAAACTGGGGTAGGAACATGTCCTGCTCAATCCTCATTCCAGTGAAATGAGATGGAGACTGCTACTATGCACTATTTCACAATATCTATTGTACATTTTGATCCTTATTTATACATTAACTTTCTCATATTAGAGAAACAATGCCATATTTACATATGAGTGTCCAATTTATTTCCCTTAAGAGTATGGGCTCAGTGTTCATCCATTTAGCTAGAAATATCTCAAGCATATCTATCTCTAGGGGAGTTGTTCAAATGGGAAGGGGAACTAGGGAGGGGGAAGAGGAAAGGAAGGAAAGGAAAAAATGAGAAAAAGGGGGAAATGGAAATAAAGCTTTTGTAAATAAAGAGGGAAAGAGGGACTAAAGGGAAGATATAAGAATGGGGAAAAAAAGAATCAAGTTATATATGTACAGGTACAAATTCCCAATGATGAGCCAGGCATGGTGGCTCACGCCTATAATCCCAGCACTCCAGAGGCTGAGGCAGGAGGAACGTTGCAAGTTCGAGACCAGCCTGGGCTACAAAGTGAGCTCAAGGCCAGCCTGAACTGCAAAGCAAGACCCCGTCTCAAAAAAAAAAAAAAAAAAAAAAAAAAAAAAAAAAAAATCCCTATGATGAATGTGATCATTGTGTATACCTAAAATGTATCAATACATATAATTAATTTTAAAAATCCTAAGTTTTGCAGGGAAGGTTTAGAGGTTTTTTTT